TGATACATATAATATTGCAGAAGGCCATTTAGCCAATCACGTACTGTGCTTTATTACAGACCAATCCAATTCATTCATCTGAACCACCGTGCCTCGCTCCCATTGCACTGACCTGAATATCCTCTCCCTGATGTAAGTTTTCACCACAGTAAATAGAAAAATGGATTGGGCTGCAAACTGAGTCATTATTCTGACTCTTTCTGGTACAGCTGTTATAGCTGTAGCTCTGACCAGGAATCTCTACTGCTAAATTTATCGGGCCAGACAATTAGCTTGGTCAGGTCATTCTTCCCACACAGGCCTATCTCTGGAATGATCTTATGGTTCAAATTGGAATTGGAAACAGAAGTGCATTATGGATCTGACAGGCCTTTTGCCAAGGAACTGACCAGCAGCTCCAGGGTCATCAAGTTACAGACAAACAGCAGCAGCCAGTAGGTCCCCAAGCTTCGAGAACCAAAGGGGTCCCCTGCAATGAAAAGGCCTCTTATCAACCATGCTCACTTCACGTTGCTCCTTAATTTGTTTTTGGGGTGGGGTATGGGGTCATAGTCAGTGCTAGCAGGAGGGACAATGCCAGTTTTTTCAGATACCCAGGGCACTTCCAGAATAATGACAGCACAGTAACTCAGTCCTACCTCATTTCTTGGCACCTGTTATCATGTGCCTAGTGGAATGGCAAGGACGCCTGGGTGGGGGGAGCAGGGCAGGTACTGGCCATTATGGGAGTGGGTACCTCTGACACTGTGGGCAGTGGCATGGTTTCAACCATGATTAAGGACGATGGGATGTTCCAACCTAGAGCACATTCACATGTTTCCCTTCACTTTCAACCCATAATCTTCAGATGGTTCAACCATGGAATTTTTGTTTTCCCCACTTCCTTCACATCAACCTTGCCATTGTGCCTTTATACTTTCAGATACTTAAGAACTGCCAGGGAAGGCAGTAAGATGGGAGGCTGAGGAGGAAGAAAGACTGCCACCCAATCTGACACTTGCTGCTACCATCTCAGTTTCTGGGACTGTACAAACCTTAAAAGGTACTGACATGGCGAATTGGTGGGCCCAAGTGGAAGGTTGGGGGAAAAGGATTATGTGATTGCTGGTTCCATGGAGGGTGAGAATATGTGTGAGGTCCGTTGAAAAGGACTTGGGTGAAGGATGTTTAGAACTTGGAGCTGGTGGCTACTCCACATCTCCATCCACTTCCCCCCAGTGTTGGAATCAGTGCAGCTAAGGGCTCTGCCTTCATGAAAGTGGTGGAGGCAATAGCCCACCTAGTATCAGTACACCATTCCAATAAGTTACTGGTGGACTTCATCATGGTCAAGAAAGGGAGTTGTCGATTCAGAAACCCAATCACCTTCTCAATGATGTTTTTTCATGGCAGCATGGTTATAATGATATGAATGTTGGCCTTGTGGAGCTGGGCTGTGAGAAAAAGTATCAACTGATGTAGAACAGAGAGCCCTTTTCACCTAGTGATCACTGTCTGGTTTGTTATTGTGGTTGATAGATTGCTGTTACACGGGGCTGGGACAGACTGATGATCGTAGCCAGGAGGTGCTGAACGCACCATTTGAATAACAGTGAATGCCATGTCCGCAAAACCACGTGGGTAATGTTATTGGCACCCTGCACCATGGAGATGCTAATTATCCTTGCAAAAACAAGTGGACTTCTCGCACTTCCCTCTCTTCTGATGTGACAATTGTTTCATTGGGTGTGTGGGTATATCTTTGCTTAATCTCCCAAAGTAATGCTGCTGGAGACCATGGAACTTTCTGCAAGGACTCTATTTCCATTACTAACTTGTCTATGCACATATTCCCTGAGTGATATAATGGACCTTCTGATCCTTTCCAGTTTACTTGATTTAGCTATGTCACTCGATATCATTATATCATTATGCAAACTTCCAATATTAGTCCTCTTAGTGTACAGCAATGCATGGAAAACTGCCACTGCCTATTCCAGCAAGAGAAATTTATTCATAAAGAAGTTGACGCTCATGTCAAACCAGCATTTAATGCTAATTGATGTCAATCTCCATACACTGCACATTTTCGGCACATTCATTTAACCAGGCTGGCATTCAGCATGGGCCTCACTGAAACAGCCCCCACTGTGTTGAAACTATTTTTGTAGCCGAGCTGGTATTGTTAGTTCCTGGAACAATGAACAAAGCTGATTATTTCCATTGTTAACTTCACATTTCTTGCAAAATAATTGTCCAATGACATTGGACTTAAAATGGTTATATGGAGTGTAAAGAGTTTGAACTGTGGGTGCAAATTTGCAACTTCCAAGAAAATAAAAATAGGCTTTTATCAGCTCCCTCCTGAACCATTTCTAAGCCCCAAATTACAGGGTTCGTTCAGTCTGAGCAAGAGTACATGGAACCAAACAGAATTTTACCGGTAAAACATTAAAGGGTCTGTTGAAAAAGTCCAATCTTTGCTGTCCCTTGTAGATAAGGGGTGTGTAGAGACACTGCTGTAATTATCTTCTGCATTAGTTAATGATGGGGTGGCAGAGAAAAAACATAAGACTGTTCTTGCACCTTTGTTATGAACTTTATTAATCCATGCAGTGCAACATTATACATTTTTCAGGTAACGTTAAATACATGCAATTAAAATATCTTTATGATACTGTATAGTGTACATTAGTTTGGTTCCTTCCAAAGCAATGTGTATGACTTAAATGAATTGATGTTATGTAAGAAGGCTGTGAATGAAAATACAAACCTATCTATTGTACCATCTACACTCCCTCAATTGGATGTGTGCTTCGTATAAGCTTTTAAAAGTTGAATGAAGCAAGGATCTTAATGAGTGCAGTGGTATATTGCATGAGTACTAGACCTTTATACAGTATATGTGAACCACATGCATGGTGTTTCAGTTGTTGTTACGATGGGAAGCTACATTAATCTCAAGAGAGAATCAGGGCGATGAGCCAATCAAAGCAAACCCAAATATGATATGAACAGAGTACCACAGAGCAGTAGGGTGTCCTATTGGCTTTCCAGCCTTGCAAGCCTGCCTGCCATGCTTAATTGGATTGTGAGGTTTCTTACCCACTAATTGGCCTGTTCTGGGAAAATCACTGCAGGTTGACTGTTTCTCACATACTGCAGGATTGTGACCCTCACTTGAAGCCAGAGTCTCAAACTAAAACCGAGAACCCTGCCCTAAATTGCTATCATTTTGAATTCTTTTGAGTGTACAATGGATGAGTCTGGTGCTGAACAAAAGGTAGATGTGCACTTTGCGGCTCATGAGGGATGTTCATTTCTAGATGTTAGAAAAAACTGAATATTCATGTGGAGTAAAAATCCTTGATTTTACCTAAAACAATTCAATTATGTCTTAACTTATTCTGGCTTGGAATTCTGAGGCACTGTCAAAAAATGACTCATTCTATGGATATGAGCTCACATCACCTTTCAAGTGTGCTGGTTGCAAAAGTAACTTCAATCATATCTATTTCTAACAAAGGCAGCAATTACAGTGCTTTAGAAATCATGATGGCTTATTCAGTTTTAATTCATTTCAAAACACTAGTGCATTCTATAGTGGAAATATAATGGCTCATAATTCCCACCAATAAGGAATGCTGAACTGATTGCATTTTCAAAAGCTGCTATAAGCATTATACATGCAAGAGGCTAAACATGCACGTGCTGTGACGATGGACCTTTGGGAACATAAAGTAACTTTTTTTCAGCTCAATCTCTGGACTATGGCAAATGTTACTGCACTTCTACAGAATGTTGCTAATTGCTGAAGGATACAATTCAAATAGTACTCACATTTTTTAAAAAAGTGAGTCTGTTAGTTATCCACAAAATGCTAAACTTTAACAACACTATTATTGTGTAAATAGCCTATCTGGTCAGTACCTGTGCTCCAATAGTTTTTTTGTAATCCCTGACTTGATCCAACCTATTTTTCACTAATTTCGTTACTGAGGCAGCTTGGTTACCTACAGTGAACATGGTCTGGTTTGTGCACAATGTATTTTTCATTGGAATTGAGAATGATCAAGATGGGTTAAATTTATTACTGGTCTAATGGTTTCTTGTCTCCATTTAATCCTTCATGACAGGTGATTTTAAGCATAATAGCAGGATTCTAAATCAAAATAATAATATCAAGTAATATTAAAAACATACCAGTAGTTTTAATAAAACCTGCATTTCCTGGTAATTACAAGTGGCTCTGGGCTGCTAACAGAGGATTTACTTTCTAGATATTTTTAATCAAACTGTTCTGACCCACCTCTGAAGCAGATGGGACTTGAATGTAGGTCTTTTGGCTCAGAGGTAGGACACCAGCACTACAGAAGGCAAAATCAGACAGGCTGTAAAACAGCAGCCCATCACATCTTGACAATTTCTCATTAAAATTATCCTACAAATAATCCACAAATTCTGCTGCTAAAACCAGTTATGTATAGCTCAGTCTGCCCCTATTACAGCCATGAAGTGTAATTGCTTGTTCGGCCAGGCTAATTGGAGACTAACTGCTTTTAGCAGATCATCAAGTCAATTGGAGGTCATAAGAAAGTCATTTCTCTTTGTCTCGGCAATGATCGACTTTACTTCTCTGCAAAGAACCTTACTTTGTATGTGAGACATATGAAGTGTGAAAGGGATTGAAAAATATGCGAAGTTGAGAGAAGCTAAAGTTTGTTTTATTTGTTATGACTAGATAGATTTATTAGTTTTGTGGAATCATAAAGATGCCATTCTAAGTACAAAATGTTCCTACAATGATTGACCAATATGTAATGCATATAGAAAATAATAATGGATTGTGATATTTCAGAAATTCCAGATTAAGAATGCAATACATTTACAATGAAGATGATCTTGTTTTCTTAAACTGTGCAGTGAGGCACTAAAGATAGCACCACAAGCGGTAGAAAAGATAATTTTCCATTAGCAAATTAGGATTAAGTACGAATATATTTTATAACTTGTGCCCTGCTGCCTAAAGAGAACTTTTATGTGGACAACATGAAAAATTCTATGATTAATGTTTACAAAGTTTAATAATTAAAAGAAAAAATACATAATGAGTTTTGTTGTGTGGGTGTAGTTTGTTCATAGTGACCTATGTTGAGATTCTCCACAGGACTAAATTACTTTCGGTACTTGAGAAATTATGTTCCTTTGTCACATAGTTTAATGTATTCTCTTGTTCAAAGACTTTGGCAACTGCACAGAAAGTTTACATTGAAATCAAAATTCTAAAATAGATGACAGCCTGCAATTCTTCTGAATCAGAATATTAGGTGTTTGATACTCGACGAGATGCACAAACTTGGGGTTCACAAAAGAACATTAGCTGTCAGCCATAAACTAAACATACTCCCACACAATTAATCAAATGTTAAATCTTACAGAAAATGACAAAAATGATGTTCAAAGGTGCAATGTCTGATCTTCTTTGCGATATTCTTAAAGGAAAGTGGAATGTTAGAATTCCTTCTTTTATTAGAACAGTTAATTGACAGTTTTAATGTTGTTGGCGATCAGATTCAAAGACCTAGGCATTTTGAGGGAGGGACAACGAAAGAGGCTGCAACAGGCACTGAAGTCCACTGACACACTTATTGCAGAGAACTGATTTTATACCCTCCCCAGGATGCGTGCAACCCACCAATTGCATGGCATGATAATCCGGCAAATAACACGACAACCTCGGTAGTGATAAGGGTATGGCATATAGCCACCGAGAGGTTCACAGACTCGCTGGCAATATTGATGTCCACGGCGACATTCAGCACAACAGAATCCATTCTGGTCATACCAAGGATCAATGTAGAGCCCATTTTCTCTCTGTGAAAATCGAAACATATTAAAACTCTCTCAGCTGTTGGGTAAATAAAAGTACGGTTTTGCTTTAGGTATTTGATACATAGTCAGGAAATGCCAACATGATATTTTGAAAATCTCAAGCCTGTGTCACTTGCTGTCAACTTTTCCCATTGTGAGTTCTAAATGACCACATTTACAATAGGAAATGTCTATGTAAATATATTAAACTCTCCTACCAGTGGTAGTATCTTAGCTTTGTATCACCAATGTCCATGACTACACAGCAATGAAAGTACTCCCATGCAACCAACCCTAGTTTGTTGTGATCTAAAATATTATATAGGCAGGAAAGTTTTAAATAAATCCAACTTGTACAATGAAGATGGCAGCTTGGTATATTCTCATAGCCACTATAACTCTGCCACTATAACTTTGCTGGGGGTGCAGTGGAGTGGGACAGGTCCAAAGAAATCCAGACAAGGTTTAGACATATAGCATATAATTTTAGAGATACAACTTTAAAATGGGGACTTAATTAAAACTCTGTACTCTGGTCCCATTATTCTCTGTGCTGTATTTCTGTGGAAGACTGTATTTTATCTTCAATCCTCATCTACCAACCATTGGCAGTCACACTAATATTTAGCACCTCATGCTGTTATATTGTCATATAAATACTTACCTGGCTTGTTTGACCCTCCTCTTTTTGCTATTTTAACGAAATTGTTAACCCATTGCATTTCGCTTACATGCTAATATAATCAAAAGTCACTCCCATTCTTAGATAATATTTGACAATCTTTAGGTTTATCGATATCAGGAATTAGTCATAGTGGAAATAGACCAATGTGGTGAGAAGCTAGAGCAGAACAATTTCAAAGGGACGAAGCTTATCTAATCATCATCATTTTTCCTTCAATTTGTCTTGTCTGCGCACACAATAACAGCACAAGCCAATCTAATTTATATCTAATGAGACAGTCGAGTGTCCCTTTATCTGTTTTGAAAATGATACAAAATAACATTATCTTCTGTAAGATTTCATCCATTATTTTCTACAGATGATTTTTCTTTTTAAAAATTATCTTAAATTTTATTTCAGTGATCTTTGACTGATGCATTACTTATAAAAAGCCAAGACTGCTGATTGGTTTGATTTTCTCATGACTTGAAAGTAAAAATAAATAAACCTTTGGAAAAAAAAACAGATGATTAAATCGGGTTTTGCTCTGACTCACTGAAATATATCTGTCAAACCACAGTGCTTATCTTGCCCAGCTTATATTGAAATAGCTGTAAATAATGGTTTTATTTAATGCACAGCAATCATGAAAAAAAAAGCTTTTGTTCAAGAGAGAGTGCTTTATCCGGATTACAATCTCTCTGTTTTAAGTAGTCTTGCCTTTATTTCATCAATATTGCTGCTTTCTTCTGAAGGTTCCCCTCTTATACTTTACTGAGTGACCATCTTTCTCCCCTCACGAACATTACTGTGTTGAAATTAAACGCCCATTTAAACATCATAGGAACAGCAGTAGCCAATTCAACTCTCAAGCCTGTTTATCGTTTAATTAGATTGTGGATGATCTAGATCTCAAACTGCATCTACTAGGGCTGGTTCCAGATCTGTTAATATCCTGATGGAAATATCAGTTCAGTTTCAGCATTTTGATTGACCTAGCCTCAACAACTTAATGTGAGACAGGTCTTGATTTCCTCTGAGATAGTAGGAACTGCAGATGCTGGAGTCTGAGATAACAAGGTGTAGAGCTGGATGAACACAGCAGGCCAGGCAGCATCAGAGGAGCAGGAAATCTGACATTTTGGGTCTGGACC